CAAATCAAGCCTTTCACACATATCCATGATCATTTTGCCTGTCAGGTCGGTATACCCATCTAGATCTTCTATGTGCGGATTCATATCTCCTAGTATAATTATCTCGCACTCTCTTCCTAACTCCTGAATGTCCTTTGATATGCACTCTACCATTGCCTGGTTTTCCTCTCTGACCTATGCTCCCGTCCACAAGTACACGATACCAGGGAGTGTCATTGGCCCTGCCACTTTCCCTTTTAGCCATAAATGTTCGTTGCACTCTTGCTTGACCCTTTGCCAGTCTGTACTTTTATGAATGAATGCCCCAATAGCACCCCCCTTTCTGCTGCCTTCTGTTCTATTACAATATTCCCACGCTTAGTCCGGATTGTTCGGAGGTTGTTCCATGTCCCTGAGATGTGTTTCTACAAAACCGTATACCATCGGCCTCTCCTCCCTTAGCTGTTCTCCTATCTCTTCCCACTTCAGCCTGTTCTTACCACCCTGCATGTTAATGTACCCTATGTCTGAATTGGCTCGGCCGTCGTGGCTACGTCTATTTCTGCCCACTGACCTTTGATACTGGTGCCACTTTGGAATTGTATCTGTCCGTACCACCTGTCAAAGAGTCTCCCTGGTTGTTTTCCTCGTTACTAGCTAACCTGCACCCCGAAGGGCCCGCTTGCCCCCCAAAAAAGCTACTGCGCGTCCTGCAAGTCGCCAACCCACCTCATGACCTAGCCATCCATCGAAGTGAATTCTGTCTCGTTCAAAACCACCCCACCTATGCACCTCTCTGTCTATTTCCACCACCTCAAAGTCTTTCTCTCGACTCATCCGCCATATCTTTTCGTTTGCGTTGACAACCGCTTTTTGCAGGTTGCTATCACGCACCGGTACCTCCGGTATTGTGCATAACACTACCTGTACATGAGGAGAAGTGGCACGCATGTCATCGACGCCTTTCGCCAGTGTGGTTGCTAGTCCTGCTGTATCTTCATTTAAGACATCGTTTAAACAGCCTGAAATTATCACGAGGTTTCGTCTATCAGCTGTAGTTTTGAGTTTTGTGCTCGCTTGCCTCATGACTGCTTCCAGCTTGCGTCCTGGGAATGCCCCTACTGCAACTCTGTTGTCACCTCTTACCCTCTGTTTGATGGCTTGTGTGCATCGATTTAATTTCGAGTCCCCGGCGATTATCACATGCTGTGACTTTTCAGCTGGAGCGTCCTGCATCTGGGGGTTACTTGCACCTGTGACGCCGGCTGCTTTGTCCCCTCCCAGCCCCACCACTACTTCGCTGAAGCTGGGCCTTGTGACAATTAAACCGGCTGAACCTGTTTTTTTCCAAACTTGCTTGCTCTTTCTTCTCCGCCGTTCTGGTTGCCGGTTCCCTACTGTTCTCTCCGTAGGCCGCTCCTCTGTTCACCTTGCCTAGTGCTTCCTCGGCGGACTTCAGCCTTTCTCCCATTGCCCTCGTTTTCTCTTGCTCTGTCGCCAACGCAGTCTGGAGCTCGGTGATTCTCATCAGCAGTTCACTCTGGGAAACCATCATTTTTTTTCATTTTTCCTCGACCTCACATTGCCTACACTTCGCGTCAGCCTTTTCTCCATCCGCTTCTACACTTGGGTCCACTTTCAAACCCACTCCACATCCTGAACACTTTACAGTCTTTTTAACCATGTCTTTCTGACACCAATTGTCCCTATGACTTGTCTCACTCGATAATTACTAAACTCGACCCCTGCCCTACGAAAAAAAGGAAGTCTAAGCTCTACTACAAAAATTTGCGTGTTCAATGTACGTGCACCTCCCCCCCGGTTGGCAAAAGAAAAAACAACAAAAACAAAAAAATCAAACACACACACACGCACTAACTAATAAATACCTGGTGGCTGGCCCCCGAAAAAGCCGTACCATAAAACAAGTGCTACAAAAATTTCAACTGCTGCCTTATAATTATAAAGACAAGCTCAAAACACGCAAAACCACTTATATGCGCAGTCGATCAGGAGCGCTCACACGTCCATCCACCGTGACAGTCCAAACCAAACCTTCGTTTGGACAAGCAGTGGCCTCTCGCGGGGATCTCTGTAACGACCGAGTGCGCCTTGTTCCAATCAGCCAATGGCTGATAGATGGGCTTACTACGGGTGGTTTGGGGGCTTATTCCGCGATTTGTCGAGAAAAGAGAAAACAATTTTCAGCTGACTTTGATAATTTATTGTGAATTAGAGGCCGCGTGCTCCTCTATATTATTTGGCTCGCGTGTTGCCAGAAGCTTCTACTACCGATCGGCAGCGTTTTCTGACCATACTCAAAAAGTGTTGCAGGGCACCTTTAAGGCCCATTTCGTTAGCAAAACTACGGCTCCACATTCGAAGTCAACATATCCGTTCCCAGCGCTAGACCCTTGATAGACGGGCCCCCAACTTACCTGTCGGTAGCCTCTCGTCTTCAATTGGCCGCTCTTTAAACTTCAACTTCTTCGCCGGAACACGTCGGCTTCACACCCGCAGCTGTTGCCACGGGTCTTCGCTCGAAAGCGGTCAACACACCCTCTTGCCTGTAGCCCGAGCCTTCACCCCTCAGGTGGAAATCCTCTTCATCTCCGGCTTCGTCCCTACGGACCAAAACCTTCGCCGACTACACGGCGGAATCCCTACGCGCTCTGGCGTTAACTTCCGTCTCCTCCTGATCTCTCATCTCGGCTGCTCGGTTAAATACCTTGCGCGCGACATTCCAGACGCTTCTCGTCATTTCGTCGGCGCGATACGCAGCGAAAGCTGGGGAGAGGTGCGAGACGGTTCGACTGCCCTCCCCGGAGGATGATTCAACTCGGTATGACCCCGCCCCGTTCGTTCTAGAAAAATCGCGGGCTTGCTGGGCCGCCGATGCGGGGTGAGGAGGTTCGTCTGCGACGCCACGCTTCCGCGGGGAGAGCGCGCGCCCGGGGAGCCTCGGACGTTTGCTTTCTTTGTTTTTTCTTTTGACCTCGCGGCGTTTCTCCCGCCCGTTGTCGCAAGAATTTGGCGGTGCGCTCTTTTTTAGCGCTCGTTCTGTGACAGTCCGTGTTGGAGTTCCATGCCTGGACACCGTCCAGGAATTCCATGACGGCCCTTTTGCTTTCTGCTGTAGCCGGGACGCACAAATCGCGCCCTAACGTTGTTGTCGGCTTCTTCATAAAGTGGAAAGTTGTCCCCATGTCAGCTTTTACAACAAGCGAATACTTGATCCAAGGAGCTTCGTCTTCCACGATGTGGACTATGACCAGCCGTTCTTTGTTCTCGATGATGTGCCAGAATGTTGAGTCTCGATTTCTCAAGCGACAAGCTAAATCTCTAATGCATGCTATTCTGTCGGCCTCTTCTTCGCGGAGAGACGTTTCTGCGGATTCTGCAATAGCTGCCTGGAGGGCTTCCGCTTCAAACCGCTTCCGCTTCGAGTCCGGGCTTTCTCTGCTCGTGCTCTCTTTTGAGAAATATGATGGGCAGGCCGGAAACTTCGAAGGCACAGCACCAGGACGAATGCGGGAACTGGGCAAAGGCGCCGTTACCGTACGCCCTGTTCGATCGTCGACGTACGAAGTCTCGTACATTATGTCTTCAGGTTGGAAGTGCAGCTCGCAAACCTATAAAAAACGAGTCGTACTTTAACTTCAACCTTTCACTGCATAAATTTTTGTGCCATGGGCTTCTTGAAGAAGAAATGTTGTGTACTTTTAATTGCAATCTAGAGCACAAAGACAATTTTGCGGGATAACTCACCCTGGAATACTGTGTCGGACTGAAGTTCTCTCGCGGTACAGCGCGCACCCATTTCCTGCACAGTTCCTCGTCGTGGGGAAACCGGAAAACGCGCACCTTGCGTGTCGAGTCATAATTGCCGTGGCACTGCGGCACACAACACTTGTACGGCATGGCGAACTCAGCAGGGTGGTTCTTCAAACTTTATGTTCCACACATCACCACAACACGGCTGATAACCACAATTAAATCACAAAATGCACGCAATCACGAAAGCAATAAAATCACAGCACAACGTGTACGCACGTGCACCCATGTATGCCGGAAAAAACCTGACATGACCGGTTTGTTGCGGGACTACTTGTATTCCGCAGTAAAATATAGTGCGCTCTCACTACGACATTTCCCAGATGAATAATATTGTTTTGTTAGAATATCAGTGCTATATGAACAATGCTTGAACACCCACAGAGATAATTGCTTTCCTGTCTTTTTGAAATATCACCACGATTCAGAAAAATTAATTTTTGTTGTACTATGGTGCCGCCATCTAGTGGGCCGCAATGAAAACTGGCGGAGAAAAATGTTTTCATTGTGTGCTTCCACGCCCACCACAGCGCCTTGCACCGCTGCCTCCCACGGCGGCGGCGACCGCCTACGCCCCGTGACGTCACCACACTGTGACGTCAGCAGCCCTCTGGCCTGTAGTCTAGAGGGTGTTGACCTTACCCCCGCATATTCTCGCCGACGGGGCAGCGTCTCCGCGCCAACTCTCCATCCACGGTGTAACTAAAGCTAATCCGTCGGACGTGCGTGAGACGTATCCAAAATGATTTCACATGCAGATAGTGAGTGGTACAATTCCCACAACTTGCAATAACAGTAAAGACGCATCCGATATATTATAGAGCTGGATATCAAACTTATGAAATTTCCAAGTATTATACAAAATTTTGTGGTACGTTCATTAACAATAACATTACTTCAAGAGTGATATCGCATTTATTATTCGAGTAGGTATGATATCGCTATCTTTTCCATTACTTATATTATAGTGGGATCGCTTCAGTCCAGAAGCATCCCGTGTATTCAATGATATGCTTCACGCGGTGAAGAAGGTCACGTGAACTTTTGAAGAACTTACGTCAGAAATTTGATACTACGGTTTGTTGGTACCGTATCTCTGCAGGCAATATTAGGTGTTAAAGATGTCGTCGTGGCATCCTTATTGGCAGTGTTGAGCTCATTATTCGCTTCAAACTTTTCAGATGTCATTCCAGCGGTGAAGCCCTTGATCAAACTGAAATACTATGATGCGCCACCTAAAATACGAAGCAAATGGCATACTCTTCGTCACCTTAGTGTCCCTTATTTCTTGCGATAACGGAGATTTCAATCTGACAATTCTACACACGAACGACATTCACGCTCACTTGGAAGAAAGCAACAAATATGGCGGCACCTGTTTTCCTGAACTTAAGAACAAGTCCAAATGCGTCGGTGGAGTGGCTAGGATCGTTCAAAAAGTGAGTATACATCTGGGAAAAATAACGTTTGATGAATTTTGATCCGTCGTGATAGCGTAGGCTTAAGCAAATGTTAAAATGCATTTAAACATGGTTCGTGTGAAAGTATGGGACCAGCGCTAGGTGGAAGAGAGTCGCATGCAAGATACAGCAGGCAGCCGTGCGTGCACGTGTAGTCAAAGTACGGAGGGACAGAGGAGCGTGGCGCCGTATCAGCCTACGTGTGCCACCTACAACAGATGTAGTGAGTGAAGCCGTCTCGGTGAAGCAAGCCGCGTGTAGTATATACGCCTGAACTAAATGCCAGACTGGGAGTGAGTAGTACTAGAGTCTTGCTAAACTAAATAAATGCACTCTAGAGCTGCCAGTTTTAAATGTATAACAGAGAGAGCGTCATGTTTATTAAGCCTTAACCTTCCCGTACACAATGCTTCTTATGTCATATTCGGGGAGTTTATTATTATTATTATTATTATTATTATTATTAGTAGTAGTAGTAGTAGTAGTAGTAGTAGTAGTAGTAGTAGTAGTAGTAGTATATCCATTCATCAAAAGCGTACAAATATATTACGTGTACACGATTCCTTTTTTTTATACCGGTGTCACATGGTAACTCTCTATCGTGCACAGTTGAATCATATCAGCATCGTATTCCTAGGTGATTATTTATTTTTGTACGCGAGGCTTTAAAAGGCAGTAAAGTAGAGACGGGCGGTGTGCGAATTCGCAGAGAATTGTCACGCAAGTTAAAATCCTCTCTTATGACTCTTATATACAGAGATATTCAATTCAAGAAATATTTTCCCGCTATAATTTAGTATTACCTCGCAATATAATATAATTTTACCGGAAAATTTATGCTTTTTGGAAGCCATGTAAATATCCGTGTGTATACTAATAAAACTGCTTTAATCGATTCTTATATCTATTACTCTCTCAACAAAACAGTTGTAGCTACAAGGCATTTTATTTTTAATGTAACAACGTCCACGTTCCGCATAACGTTACTTCTTCATACCCTTGCCTCGTGTATTTCTTCGTAAGAGAAGAAAAATGTCAATAATATATGGTATCAAATATCTTGGCTTGCAGGTCAAAGAAATCAGAAATGAAACTACTGATGCGCTTTTTGTGAACGCCGGAGACTTCTTTCAAGGCACACCTTACTACACCCTTTTCAAGCAAAAGGTCATCAGTGAAATCATGTCGGTGATGGGTTACGACTATGCGGTGAGTTCATACCAGCGTTTGATTATTCGCCCTGACCGCGTTATTTTCCTGACGTCGCCGACGTTCAATTCACCACACGAGTCCGCGGGACTGAGCCGCGAAATCATCCTCTCTCCCCCCTGGACGCGCACGTGACAACATCCGTCCACGAACGCTGCAAAAACCCAATTATCGCAAGAACTCTCTCTGGAGCTACCCTATAATCTCGCTTTCCGCCGAGCGCCTCTGGTGGCACCGCTAGAGTGCCTCGATGCGCGCGCCTCCAGGCAAACGAGCGCATCGAGGCAGTCTGGTCAGGGGGCGGAAACTTCCTCTACCACCCATGCATGCTGATACTAGCTGACACGCAGCGGCAACCTACTAAAAATAATTCAAGAACAGAAAATTTTTATGACGTAACTGGTGACATCCCGAAATAGAAAAAAAGACAAATTCAGAGGAGGAGAATTACCGCGTATGCCCTCCTTTCCCACTTTGCTTGCAAGCGGAATGCACTCGTACTTTCTTTCAGGTCCGCTGGCCGCTTGGGCGATGTGGCCATTCCTAAAATTTTTTTAACCTTTTTTTTAATTTTGTTCGTGTGTTATGAATAGGTGCAAGTTAAGCTGACTGATGTCTCTGTATAAAACGAGACTCAGTGGGCACAAATAAAATGAACTTTTTTATTACATGTTTGATATAAAAACACATACACTTAGTGTGAAAGTGTAAACTATAAAACCTACTATCACTTACAATTGACATATGGACATATCAGAGAAAATTTAACGCAGAATATCCGAACCAATGCGAAACTTATCAACAATTGCGAGTAGGACACGTCGTATTTGACTCAATCACGTTTGTTATGACAGCGCACATAGCTTTCTTACACAACTTGGGTACCAAACGAGATTGAAGTTTAGAAGCACGGAGAGGCTTGAAGTGATGAGTAGTTTTTCGAGAAAGAACGTTGCTGGAAACAGTGTTTCGGCAAGTTTACTTGCCCTTGTCAGGGCAACAGCGTTGCCGTGACGAAGAAAAGTTTAATTTTCAAAACGTTGCCTTAACCGACATTCTCTGTATTAATATTTTAAAGCATTTAGTTCATCACGTGTATTTGAGTGACAGTATTAGAAGTAAAGATTCACAATTTATCAAAGAATGGCTACAAGAATTTTATGAGCAGGAATTAAGCAGCCTATGGTTACTTGGCATCATTTGAACTACACGCCGAAAGTAATAGAAGCTAAAACTTCGTAGCCCAGCCAACTCGAATTCAAGCCTTTCAATAAACGCATTTTCCTGACTGGAGCTTGGCTGCCATCTTCAGACACAAGCGACACCGCACTTCTGTCAATCCAGTCAGTCTTGCAGAGAATTGGGGCTCTATGCAGGATCGGCCAAGTTTCGCACGAGTTCGCGAAATTCGGCATCTTCCCGAGCTCTAGCTACACCCCCTTATGAACGAGCCAACAGTACGAAAAATCGGCATATCCCACGGACAGTGGGAATCGATGATACGCGAAGCGGGAATGAGAAATGTTGATATGTCACTTTAAAATAAGCACAACGGTACGAGATGGAGGTAAATGATTCCGTACATGACTTTCATGCCATGATTATCATGTTTGAAGGTGTCGTTTACCTACGTCATCTATTCTCGTCTTGTGATACCAAATTTAGTATACATAGAGCTAGCGAAATGGCCGCAAGCACGCTATGAGGGGGGTATGTTGTCATGTTCTTAGACACGCGTGTCAGGATTATCATTTTTGCACCGGTAATAAAGTTCGTCATTCATTCACGTCACGTAACACCAACTTTGGTATATGTGAGCTAGCAAAACGGCCACGAGCGCATCATGAAGGGCCTATTATACTCCGATGTAGCGGTGACGCGCGCGCACGCTGGGCACAGCGACGCTACGTTAGCAAAACGCGAGCACTCTATAGTCCAACGCCAGGCGCGACCAGCGTCCGTCGGCGCGGCCCGACGGCAACTGCCGCGAAATGCGACATGCTGCATTTCGAACCGATGCGTTACCCAGACAACGCTGCGTCTCCCTCTTTTCGTGACGGAGGGACGCCGGACGGGCTGAAGCGCGCATGCGTCAAAGCAACGCAGCGCGGCGTGCGCCTGCGAGTATATGGCAGGACCGGTGCCTGGCGTGGCAACGCCGGCGAGACGCGACGAAATGAACGCTGGCGAACACGCGCACCGCGTCACGTCGAAATGTATTGGTGCCTTGGCTGTGGCATGCAGTCATGTTCTCACATGACACGCATCTCATGATTATTATGTTTGCACCAATCACATACCTTCGACATCCATTGGCGTCACGTAATACCAAATTTGGCATACGTGAAGCTAGCGAAACGGCCGTGATCGCATCATCAGTGTGGCATGTATTCATGTTGTTACATGACACGGATGCCGTGAGTTTCGTCAGTTACATGACACGGATGCCATTGTTTCGCCACAATGATTTCGATGAGCTCCTAGAGCCTGTGAGCAGGAGTCATCGAGTCCGCCAGTAGGGTATCGAGAGTCGGTATTGCCTTAGTGATGGCTGTCCGGTAGAAGCCACGCTGTATTCGGAGTTGATCCATTGTCGAAGTCGAGGGCCAGACGACCGGGTGTGTTTCGGTACCAGAACGAAGCGTGAGAAACGAAGGGGACCCGGACCCGATCGTCGGGCTGCGCTGATGGTCAAGGGATCAACTGAGCGAGCCAGCGCCCGTGACTTGTGCTCATGCCCGCCACCCTTTCTTTCTCCTTTATTTACAACAATGAGCTACGTATAAGGGCCTGTTTTCTATTTTAGATATCCCTATGCACTGAGTAAGAACAAACAGGTCATCGTCTAATCACCTGTCGATTCGGAATCCATACGGAAGTTCTGCCAAAATATTATTTTGCTCTGCCCATGTTTCTATATTTAATTTTACTGCCTGCATCGCCAACCTGTATAGCGCAGTTGTAATGATTAGTGGCCTATACGAGACAATCTTGACCTTTTTACAGCGAAAGCTGTTATGAGATCACAAATAAGGTCTCGCACAGCGCCGTAGTTGTCCACCGCCGCCGCCGCCGGTGTCCGTAACAACATTGCACGAAATAGCAAAAAAAAACTACTCTTAAGTGACAACCACTGGCACGCGTATGCACGCGCCTACGCCTCAAAAGCGTCTAGTCGCACCTGTGGAGGAAAAGGGCGCGCAACCACTGGCACGCGTAAACTGCGTTGACGCCCACGCGTCCAAAGCCGATGCACAATGTTGCTTGATCTTTTGGCTTACAACTCTCCAAGTTCAGCACAGAACGGTACATTCCTAACTGGAGCGGGTTTATATGTTTTATAGGATATGAGAACACGTTAAAAAATTGATAGTGCTTCACCCACCGCAGTTTAGACTACTTTAAATGTAATTGACATTTCAGTGCCCAAAGTAACTTCAGCGGTATGCACCAGAAATCAACATCGGTGCGTGCGCCGCTCCCGCGAATGAACATTCGCGTCTAGCATACTGTACGTCTATCATAGGCGTGTGAAGGGTTCTCCTTAAGGAAGGGGGGCAAAGTTTGTCGCAGTGCCCCCCCCCCATGTAAGGGCCGGTTTAGCGCCCCCTCTCTATTATGTTAATATATGGAGTTGATATTGAGCTCCCCCCCCCCTCCTCTCTTCGTTGAACGAGGCGGCGGCTGCCCTCCTGATCAGGTTTACAAACCACCGGGTTTCTATAGCTGCACTACCAAATTTATGAACAATATCTTAAATATGCTGGTACTTTCGGTATATTTACACATCATATTTTATAGCACTCAACTTAATAATCACGCCAGAAACTTCATGATCTGACTGATTTATGTCAGTCATAAGACTACAATTGAGGCCAGAGTAGCAGGCTTTCGACTGATGTGGGTTCGATATATCCTCTAATGCAACAAAGCACACCTGGTTCTTATTGATACAACAGATATTGGTCATAAGATAGGAACCGAATACTGCGTAGAATGCCTTCGGGCATTTCCCATAGTCGAAATGTGCTCTAATGCAACTAACTGTGCCTGACACTTCATGATGTGACAGATATCGGTCATAATATTACAACTGAACCCTGTATGGAAGACTTCTGGACATTGTCTTTAGTCAAAGTATTCTCTAAAACGACAAACGACACCCAACTGTTCATGAAGTCACAGATATCAGCCATAATATTAAAACTGAATCCTTAATGGAAGACTTCTGGACGTCGTCTTTAGTCAAAGTATTCTCTAAACCGACAGACGACACCAAACCGTTCATCAAGTCACATATATCGGTCATAATAGTGCAACTGAACCCTGTATGGAAGACTTCTGGACTTTGGCTTTAGTCAAAGCATCCTCTAAAGTGACAAACCACACCCAGCTGTTCATGAAGTCACAGATATTGGTCATAATATTACAACTGAACCCTGTATGGAAGACTTCTGGACATTGTCTTTAGTCAAAGTATTCTCTAAAACGACAAACGACACCCAACTGTTCATGAAGTCACAGATGTCAGCCATAATATTAAAACTGAATCCTTAATGGAAGACTTCTGGACGTCGTCTTTAGTCAAAGTATTCTCTAAACCGACAGACGACACCAAACCGTTCATCAAGTCACATATATCGGTCATAATAGTGCAACTGAACCCTGTATGGAAGACTTCTGGACTTTGGCTTTAGTCAAAGCATCCTCTAAAGTGACAAACCACACCCAGCTGTTCATGAAGTCACAGATATTGGTCATAATATTGGAACTGAACCCTGTATGGAAGACTTCTGGACATTGTCTTTAGTCAAAGTATTCTCTTAAATGACAAACGATACCCTACTGTTCATGAAGTCACAGATGTCAGTCATAATATTAGAACTGAATCCTTAATGGAAGACGTCTGGACGTTGTCTTCGGTCAAAGTATTCTCTAAAACGACAGACGACACCCGACTGTTCATTAAGGCACAGATTTCGGTCATAATATTAGAACTG